AAGCAAATAATAATAATAATAATAATAATTTGACCACTTAAAATGTTATATAACATGTAATAGTGAAAAAGACTTTGTCTTCACTACCATTTTGTATATATATTACTTTTCCTAAGAACATATAGACACTTTATTCAAAGATAGAAGTATTGTCCTAATACGCTAATTATATTCTAAAGAAAAAAAATCTGAAAAGGATAGAAGATAAATTTAAATATGCTTGCTTTATATTTGTGTATAAACTTAATTAGTGTTAAAAAAAAAAGTTCCCCACCTTGTTTCTATTTCAATTTGGATGCTCTACGAACCTTACTGTTTGGAATTTAAAGACAAAAAATCTGAAGCTTTAGTTTGTGTGAAAGAGAAATCGGAGCTCCTGGATTATGTTAGGCAGACTAGCAGAATTGGTTAATAGGGATTTTCATATTCAATTTGAATGGTCTTGATTACTTAGTCCTTAGGCTCCAGACAACTAATCCGAAAACAAATTTTGACCTTATTATTTTAAATTGAATAAACAATCACATGTCAAAGAGTTATTCTCCGACCATTCTTCTAGCAAATGGACCGAATAGTAAGAGAATCTTAAATCCCACATGGCAATGGCCATCTATGTTTGGCCCTATTATGTTTCACCTTTTCTTGTATTGAGACAACTCTAGACATTTCCAAAATTGTATGCAGAAAATGAAAGGCATGGTGAGTGTGCGTGTGCAAGCACATGCTCATGACATTGCTAAAAAATAACACATGATTATAATAAGCTATAGTTACAAAGATATATTAGTGTTCAATGAACAGATCACTGTTTGTATGACTAACATATAAAAAAAGATGAGATTTTACATTTCTTTATCACATAAAACTTCTTACCCATGTCATAAATGATATACAGGCGACCATATAGAAGAATCTACTGTAAGTTTGCTCATGTCACCTGAATCATATGCTTTGTTGAAATTTATCAATTTGCTACTTCAATTGAAATTTTTGTAACAATGTGTCACTTATAGTCACATTTAATTTATTATTTCGTTCCAAAAGTTATAAACGATTCACGTGTGACCATTTTGAAGAATATATTGACGTTCGATGTATCAATACAAACCTTTTTTTTTATTAACGATCATTTTCACTACAATTTTGGGTTAGCTGCGTTTTGAGTCGTTGACTAAATGCGATCAATGTCGTTTCCACAAGGAGTTCGGACATTGCCGTGTTTTGGAAGTAAAAGCTGGTGAGACTTTTGCAAAGCAAGGGGGTAGGATGGTAACTAAAGAAAGAAAGGTAGGGAGGGTAGTTTGGACAAAAAGAAAAATGGTAGGAGTGTAATTTAGTGCTGAAACAGCGGCAAAAGGATAAGCACGCCAGACTGTCCCGCCAAAGCTGCTTCTCTTCCAACTCCAACAAGGTTGTCCAACAGTTACACTGCCACGTCACTATTTTAACGTTGCAAGTTGCAGTGCTTGCACTGCTGACTGCTCTCCCAACGTTAAAAAAGACAAACTTTCTGACTTTCACTTAAAAGGAAAGGGATCATTTATGAATCCCTTCCTTCTAATCCATCAAATTAAAAGGAAATGAATCATTTCCAAATCTCTTCCTTCTAATCATCAAATCAGAGAATCATTTTTTACCATTGAAATTTGATTTAACGGCTACAAAGAGAGGTCATTTAAAAGTTATAATAACTTCAACCATTAGATCAAATTTTAATGGTACAAATTCCCTAATTTTATGAAATAGGAGGAAATGATCCGGAGAGAATCCATTTCCCAGTTAAAATTAGGCATGCATTGTTTTGGTTTTCACTCTGCGGAAAAATTTTTGGAAGCATTTTTACTCACCACCATAAACTATGGTGTATACTCACCATACACCTAATTAATTTACATGTGTCATTTCGCTTAACTCTATTTAACTTTCACATTAAATGTTAGTTTTTCAATTTTGAAACAAATTAATCAAGATTAAATGAAATGACACGTGTCAATTGATTAGGTGTATGATGAGCATACATCATAATTTATGGTGATGAGCAAAAATGCTCCCAAAATTTTATGCAGAGGAGTTTGTCACTGGTGACATAAGATAATCACTCCTTAAATTTACAAATAACATAGCAGAGGAGTTTGTCCAAAGATAATGACTTACAAATAACAAGTTCATCGCCACGTGACGTCATGTTACCGTAATGTAAGGTAATGTGAGGGATAAGGACTAACGTGGAACATGTTCACTGTCACATGGCGTCTCTTGTCCAATATGCATTGTCAGGTGTAAGTTTTTCTTCACATCACAATGTAACATTGAACTAAAACACTACGTGACATTGAACTTATTTTATATAAGTTGCTCAACTCTACATGTGAAAATTACAAATAGGAAAAACTAATGAAAAATGTTTGAAAATTTTGAGTTTTAACGATAAGGACAAAATAAATGGTAAAATGAATAGTACTAGAATTGACTTTTTAGTGTAAAAATGTGATTTTTCATTAAAATAAATAATATCATGGGTTTTTCGTTAAAGTTCCCCTTATTATATTGCGATGCTACGATGATCATAAATTTGTATGAAATTTGCTATGTTGCTCAATAAATATTGCATCCGCCCCTCATGTCGTATAATTTTACTTTTAATTTACTTTCTTTTTTTCTTTGGGACAATAAGGGTAGTTTCCTTTGGAAGAGGATCATTTCCGGATTCACTTTGTGGAGGGATCCCCACATTTTAGTTGTTCATCGTAGATCATGCTGTCAGTTTTCATCAGATATTATTTGTGTTTAGTTTTAAATAAAAAAAATATATGATTTATGACTGCATGATATATAATGAATAACTAAGATGTGGGAATCTCTATGATCCCCACATAATGGATCCGGATGGGATTCAATTTCGTTTCCTTTAAAGCAAAAAACTAATTTGCAGACCACATAAATAAAAATGCAATTTAAAAAACCACTTGGGCTGATGATTAGAAAGACTATTAATTGGGATTTGATTCCTAACCGGATTCAAATTGTGGGGATCTTAAGATCCTCACATCTTAGTCATTTATTGTACATCGCGCGATCAGAAATTATTTAATTTTTTTTATTAAAATTAAACACAAATAATATCTGACAAAAATTAACTGCACAATATATTATAAACAATTAGGATACGAGGATCCAAAGATTCCTACAAAATGAATCCGGAATCCTCTTTCTATTAACTGGACGCCACCAAGAACCAGCTCACATGTTAGTAGGACCCAATGCCACGTTGGAATATCCTCCCGGGTCAAGATTTGTAAAAGTGGGCCGACGGGTGACTTGAGGAGCCGTCTTTTTTGGAATAATTTGATCGGCAATAAGACTGTGAGTCTGTGACGTCTTAGACCCAGTGTTTAAAATACAAATATAAGTGTAAATATTAACACGTAAATTATAGAGCTATTGATATCTATTGTCTTTGATGAACATTATGAAAATTTGTAATACGGTGTGTACATCAATTCATTCAGATTTAGTTGAAATAAGAGAAAAAATTATCAAAAGTTTGAAATCTGCAATGAGTTTCGACAAATTTTCTATAGTCAAAATATCATCAATTTCACCGATATAAGATGAAGTTTGCATTTCAACAACCCTCCCCTCTTTCCATATCAATCAATGGTTTTTAAGATATTTCGACGGAAATATGACAATTTTGTGGATATTTTAAACATTACTTTGACCGCATAAGGATAAGTATCGGTATCAAAAGTCAACATCATTATGTAGAAAAAACCAAATCACATGATAGTGCAGGATGAGCATGTAATACTGTCACCGTGATATCTTATCAAAGGAAGGTTCTCCCCAATTGTCGGCACACGAGGGATTGGTCTAGAAACTCTCCCTAAAGTCAACATACAAGTTAGTTGTACCTAAATCTCTAATCAAGGGCCCTGCTAATCAAATACAAACAAATATTGTTGCTTAATAGGCTTCTAAATTCTAACTCAATCAATTTTTGGAAATACTTCAAACAGTAGATAGAAAACGGAAAACGACACGAGTGATTGTACGTATCTGGAGTTTACTTTAAAATCTCATATCGATGATAGAGGAAGTCGGAGAGATTTCCTGTTCAATTAAATACAACCGAGTTCGAGCGAAAAAATGTGGAATGACAATGATGCATGGAACCACCTTATGCCATTGTTCTGTAAAACTGCCTAAACAAAACCAATATGTAGAGCAAGTATTGTTTGAGTGGATATTTAATGATGGGCTTGGTGAGAGTGAAGGCTCAAGAACACAAAAAGCAAAGGGAGGATTGGGCTCGGACAAGACAACAACCAAAGAAGAATTAAAAATCATTTTTGTCAAGGAATAGGCAATAGGCCTATAAGAGAAGTGACACTTAGAAGGGCAGCTCACCCCAGCAAAAAGTACTTTTCGAGGGTATGGATGGGTAAATAAGTGGTGACTCACCACGTTCTGGAGGACATCACCAAAAGGCAAAACTTGTACAGTTGGGTTAAAATGTCTATAAAAACATCAAAAGACCACAGAGATATAAACACTCAACCATTCAATCAAAAGGCATCCCACTTTGCTTTCAAACAAGCAAGAAAGCAGAAAACTTTAGTTTGTCTAGACTTTGTTCTTTTAGTCATAGATTTACCATAGAAAGCCATCTTTTGTCAAGTTTTAGAAGCTCTGCTACTTTTCCCCAGCGTTTTAGTATCAATTCCCTTTTTGTAAACTCGTTTTACCTTTCATTCCCCAAAGATTACAACCCTTGTAAAACACAAAAAGAAGTGGCTACAAGAGGATGAACCTTGCCTGACAAAGTTCTAATCTTTCCCCAGTCTCTTTTGTTTGTACTTATGTAAAGTAGATATGTTGTTTAATGCATCTTTGTTTGTGTTGTAAACCATTTTCAACTGCTTTTCAAAGTTCATTTGTGATTAATCTAGCTAAACTAGTTAACCTTGCTTCTTTAGTGTTAACTGTAATCAAAGAAATAGTTGGAAGGGCCCTGAACTTCCTTTATTGGGTCATATAATATCATGAGTAAAAGTCCTTGTTTACAAGGCAAGAAAAAGAACCTTATTACAAACTTAACCCATCTGTAACAATCCAGTAAGATCAATAAGTCTAAGTAACCTGTGACACAAGTAATCAACCCAGTTAAAAACCAAAAAAGAACAATATGTTATACAAAGGAAACAATGGCACGCTCAGATCTATATTAGTTTTGATTGTGAGCCTCAAGGCCTAACAAAAGCTCTACAAAGGCACCATTCAAACTAATAGCAAACTCATGTTGCAGCGCACCAAGCAGCAAACCTTACCTGACAGGCAAGACCCCGGGGAGCCGTGCAAGGGACGAATCTAGCCCGAACAAGTACAAGTAATTCCCTTCCCCTAAATCGGAGTTTTCAGGAATGAGGGGTGCGTTACCTGCCGATTCGAAAAAATTCTCATTGCAGCCAGAAGCGGGGGCGATTGCAGGCTGCCAATGCCGAGGCTTAGATTGCATTCAATCCGGCAAGCTCACGCAACTTCTCGCAGAGTATGAAGGTAATTGTAGTTTGTGGACCCAGTCTTGCAAAAGTTGCAAGGCTCCTGAAAAGTTTAACACCTTATTACTAATGTAGGCACTCAGACAGACGTTTTCTCTGTAGTTACACGAAAATTCAAACTACGCACCGCTGATTCTATTGAATCCAAAGACTATAATATCGGAAAGTTTGAAGGTGTATACGAAAAGCATGAGTATTCGAGCTTGAAGGGAAACTCACCCTTTGTAAAGACCCCTGGGACCTTCTGTAAGCATAACCTGAAACAACACACCATAGCACATCAAATAAGATCTACGCAAGGAATTAATTTCTGGGACGCCAAGAGTCAGTGTAGACCATATAGACTCTACAACGAACCAACGCAAAATAAAACAGGACCAAGTTATCATGCTCAATTACAGCTGCCGACTGTTAAGGTTGTGAAAGCTTTTCCAGAGGCAAATCAAATGTTAACCACATGCCGACAACCTATTCCAATTTAATGTGTTTATAAACTGTGTTCTAGAAAAGAAATCCAAATACACCAAGAAAAAACACCATTAAACTGTAGCGGAAATGAAAAGACTATGTAATCTATACCTGGTATGCGCAATGAAATCCATTTTTATAGTTTCCTGCCTTTTTAGATTCCTGTTGCAACATGAGACGGGTTTTTACCATGTCCACGGGTGCAGTTACGAGGGTACTCACCAAGCCTGCAACTGTGCTTGAGCTTCACAAGGTGCATAATATATTTAGTTTTGATCGATGTACTATCACCAAGTTAATCTACTTCAGTTGAAGAAATGAAAGACCTGAGATAGATAAGAACATTGGCAACAGTGTCTTACATGAGATGAAGATGGAATCCTTCTTCGAGTGATGTCAACCTAATCAGTGTCTGCATTCAAAAAAAAGTCGGGACAAAATTTGAAGTCAGAATGAATTAAAGAAAAATGAGACGAACACTTTCCTATTGCCAATCAAACATTAATGATTTAGAAACAAATGGAAATTACTTAGAACTTGACCAGCTTGGTTTCGTCATATGTTGCTAGTTGTGATGCAGTCAACATAGCAGCTCTAGCCATAGCAGGGCCAACCCCCTTCCAAAGCGCTTTCGCTCCCTCTTCAGTAACAATTCTACGCAGTTCTCCTGTTGGACTCAAGTTTGGATTCATCTGTAACCGCACCTAATGAAAGGAAGCAAATGAAATGATCTTGAAGTCAAGTCTCAAGAAATAGAAAGCAAAAAGTTCAACAAGGCCCACCACGATGGCATTACCTTCAAAACCTCAACTGGATTCGTCAATGCAGTTGCAATTGCACCTGCAAATCCTCCAGACCCAATCTTAGCAAAAAGATTGGAGGATCCAAAAGCCCAATTGCAGGCATACTTTGAAGGTTCATACAAGCCTAAACGAAGACCCCCATAAAGAACAGACCTTGTCAATGCCGGTGTCAATCCCAGATACAAAAATCTTGGCCCTTCCTTTTTAAAAGTATGGAGAAATAACCGGCCCTGCACATCACACCTTTATCACGATCCACGCTGATAAATTGGATCAAGATATGCACCTACGAAAAGAGCTGGGAAAAATACCATTCCAGTGAGAGGACCCTTCTGCCCAACAAGTTGCATTTGCAGCCTAACTTTGAGAACATCTGCATCCCACCAGTGGAGATAAATAAAATCTTTGCATCTCTCAAATTTTCCCTTAACCTACAATCTACAGCCTCTGTTCATCATGCCGAGAAGTTTTTGAGCAAGACTATCATAGAGATGTATCTATTTAGTCACACTGTACCTAGGTCCATAAGAGATTAACCATGTTGTCCATTCCATATAACACGTGAATTAGTAACAACATGGGTCAATATGGCGGTCACACTAAAAAACTTCTCCGATTCTAAATCGGATCCATTGCCAAATCTTAATACCATAATCTCTATCAAACTCGGAACAATGAGAAATCATGCATAACCATATAACACGTGAATTAGTAACAAAATGGGGTCAATGTGGCCGCCAAACTATAAAATTTCTCCGATTCTACGTCTAATCCATTGCCAAATCTTAATACCATAATCTCTATCAAACTCCGAACAATGAGAAATCATGCATAACTATATAACACGTGAATTAGTAACAAAACGGGGTCAATGTGGCCGCCAAACTATAAAATTTCTCCGATTCTACGTCTGATCCTTTGCCAAATCTTAATACCATAATCTCTATCAAACTCCGAACAATGAGAAATCGTGCATAACTATATAACACGTGAATTTTTTAGTAACAAAACGGGGTCAATGTAGCCTCCAAACTATAAAATTTCTCCGATTCTACGTCTGATCCATTGCCAAATCTTAATACCATAATCTCTATCAAACTCGGAACAATGAGAAATCATGCATAACTATATAACACATGAATTAGTAACAAAAATGGGTCAATGTGGCCCCCAAACTATAAAATTTCTCCGATTCTACGTCTGATCCATTGCCAAATCTTAATACCATAATCTCTATCAAACTCCGAACAATGAGAAATCGTGCATAACTAAATAACACGTGAATTAGTAACAAAACGGGTCAATGTGGCCGCCAAACCATAAAATTTCTCCGATTCTAAATCTGATGCATTGCCAAATCTTAATACCATCATCTCTATCAAAATCGAAACAACGATAAATCGATGCAGAACCAACCAAACCGGAGTTTGAACAACCCATGAATCAAACCAAATAAATAACAAAATGTTTAAAATTCTGCTACAACATAAGCTGAAAAGGTGAAATTTTTACAGAGGCAAACAAAACAAACATGTTGGAAGCCGCAAAAAGGAGGAAAAAGTAAACTTTTTGGGTTCCATAAATTACCTAGAGGATGAGTTACTGCGGTGGCCGCCGCAACGGAAAGTCCACTGGTGCCGAAGTGATAGACAACCTCGGACGGCGACACCGCCGCCCAACTCTGCCTCTCGTTCTTCACTTTCATCTTCTCCAATGTTTCAATCACAAAACATTGCAAAAAAATACAAAAAACCAAGCGAAATTTCTTTATTTGGGAACTCCGAGGATTCTGAAATTTTTGGGATCCGAGGAAATTGAAGCTTATAACTAAAAGCCTTCAATTATTTTGGCTGTTTGGCTTTCATTTTCGTGAAACGCATTCTGTGTTTTTCTTTCCGTAAATTTTCTCGGGAAACAAACAGAAAATTAAGGTACGACGTAACGGAACCTGAAAGCCAGAGTTTTCGGGAGCGGATTTTGCCGTCCAAATCCGACTTTTGAGGTATGGCTTGCGGTTTGCCTCTGTCGTAATCGGAAAGACTCGTAGGATGTGGAAACGACGCGTCGTTTCAGTATTTTTGTTCAATGTTTACTAAGAAGTGCTTTTAAAATAACTTTGAAGTGCTTGTGTACAAAGCATCAGTTATATGCTTCTTTCCGAAAGAACTTTAAGTGTTTTTTCAATATTTACTTACATTTTTATTAAAAATTGATTCTAAAAACCTTTTATCTAAAAACGCTTTTAATTATTATAAAAATAGTTTCAAATAAATTCTAATTCATAATAAGGAATTTGATTTAAGTGTAAAAATTTGAGGAATCAAATTATAATAAGTACATCTATGTTTTTATTTTTTTTACTAACAGAAATGAGTTTCACGCACTATTATTAATTTTCACACATCCTTATTCATTTTGTATCGTCAAATAAAACGAAAACAACGAATACAATTAAACAAAAATATGTAAAACTCTAAAAAAAATATGTTTAATATTTTTGTAATTTAATATACTTTAAAAGTACGACTTTATGCCACCCAGTTCTACAGTCTGATGATATTTTTCTTCACTTAAAAATTAGAGGTCTTAAATTCGAATCTCGTAAATGGTGAATTCGATAAGTCCATTAAGTTAGGCCCAAAAGCCCACCAAGCCCAGAACCTTCAATTCATTACTTCTCAGCTGCACTGGCGGGTAGCCAGAACCTTCTTCTTTCTTCAAGTCCCCTAGGGTTTTTGCATTACTCCAGTTTCAGTAAATCCCCAATTCCCGAACCCTAATTCCAGCGATTCAGAGCAATGCCAAGGTATCAACTCTTTCTCGTTCATTCAATATCACACTTATGCGAATCCTATCCCAATTTCATGAATTTTTTAATCTTTAATCGATTTCTTGTTCCAATTTTTCAGGTATTACTGTGATTACTGCGATACTTATTTGACCCACGATTCGGTAAACTCTCTCTGCCCTCATTTTTTTAGTTTTCGGATCGTGTTTTCGATTATTTTCTTATATCGTTTAGAGATTTAGATTTTGCTTGATTATTTTTTTGATTAATTTCAAGAGTTAATCACGTTGAGAAGAAAAAAATTGGGATTTTTATATCGGGTTAAACTCGCCATGGTAAATTAGTGAAATCATGATCATGTTGGTTGCTGACAAGTTTTTGTTTTTCCTATTTTTTCAGCCTTCAGTGAGAAAGCAACACAATGCTGGTTACAAACACAAGGTATTATTGGCTTATTTTGTGTTGTTACCGTAAGTTACCGTTTCTTTCCATTTTGCTGATTTTATGCGTGAATTCAGGCGAATGTGCGGGAGTACTATCAGCAATTTGAGCAGGAACAAACCCAAAGTTTGATTGACCAAAGGATCAAAGAGCACCTTGGCAATTCTGCAGCTTATGGTGGTCAGCCTTACGGGAATATTGGTGCAGCTTACAGTCAGCATCTAATGTCTCAGCCCCGTCTTCCTGGCATGCCGCAAATGATGGCTCCAGGGATTAGGCCTCCTGTTTTGCCAAGACCTCCTGTACTCAGTGCTCCAGGTAATCTGGAATGTTTACAGTAAAATCTTTATTTTTCGTTGGCATTCCACTGTAGTGCTGGTTCTGTGATTTATTAGTGCACGTATTTTGCATTTTGACGTATAGAGTTTTTGGCTGCTTGACCAAACCGATTTTTGCATTATTGTTTGGAATTTTTCTTTCCGGGTGTGTGGTATATGTAATTCTGTTCCTATCAACTTGATGTTTTGCTAATAATGCTACCTACTTTTTACAAAACTACTGTTACTAGAAGGCAGGGAAAACAGAATGCGTATTTCTTGCTTGGTTAAGTATTGTCCTTTAGTCTTCTGCATAACGTGATCTTTTTTCGATCTTTTCCTATGTGATCATTTGGCATCCCTTTTTTTTCCATGGCTATGGACGTTAGCGATGGTGTGTTACCCCGTTATGCAGCTATATTCTAGATCCAATTGCTGCTGTATTGTATTGATTATTATTTTCCGGTCAGACACACAGCGATATACCTTTGGCAGCAGAATCTTACTATCTAATACTAATGATGTATAAAAAAAATTCTTGGTGGTGGCAGGTTACGGCTCTGCTCCACACATGATCCCAATGATGGCTCCACCAGGTGCTCCCAGCATGCCTGGTCAATTAAATGCTCCCATGAGGCCTCCTCCTGCTTTAAATCCTCCACCAGCAGTTCCTGGCAGCGCAGCACCAAATACTTCTAATGGTGCCCCTCCTATGGCTGCACCTCCGATGTATCAACCCAATCCAACTGCACCAACGAGTGGAGGCTATGAAAGTTTCAATCCGAATACTCAACCGCCTGATTCTAGTCAGTAATGTGTCAAATTGGTATGTGGTATTTCTTTACTTAAACATCTTTCGTCAATATGTTAGGATTTTAACTATTACTAGCAAGTTTGCAAAGTTCATGTTGTGTACATCATGTTTTAACAAAAATACAGTTCAAAATTATGGGAGTACATGCGTATTGGCAAGAATTCGGCTTAGAAATTATTATTTTTCCCTCTGTGGACCTATGATTCTTATGCTTGCACAAGTACTAAAAGAAGCCTAGACGGGATAAACCGATTGTAATTGTAGCACAAAAGAAAGTTTTTACTTCTTTTTAAGTTCACTGCAAAACCGAAAGCAGAAGTCTCTTTCTTTTTTTTTTTAAGTTCCATGGCGTTTCTCATCACTGGAAATCATTACTAAACCCGGAAAATGCCTCGTGTTGCAGCACCTTCGTTGGAGAAGTCTTCTGCCATGGTTCGTGCAAAGTGGAGATTGTGCAATTTAACATTTTTGTAGACCCCTTGTATGATTGTATCCTCTATTTGAAGTTGCACATCTTATTTGGACTGCTTGTATTTATAAGAGGAATTTGTCGAAAATGTGCAGTCAGAGACCGATTTAAAACGTGTGGTTCTCACCCGTGTTATTTTAAGATAGTATGCTGTTGGCATTTGAACATTCTTTTACCCCCAGTCCCCTCTACTCCCAAAACTTGTAACTGTTCTAAAAATCCGGCGCTAGGCGACTGGCCATCGTCCCGATTAATACCTAGACGTTTGAAAATTAAGAAATGACGTCTAGACCTGCTGAGGCCCCTGCCTAGATCGCCTAACCCGTCCAAACCAGCCTAGGTTGTGATTCAGTTGGACAGAAAATAAATAACTTTTATTTTGCATTTTTTTATTAATAAACTATAAGAGATTTGTTGAATACTTAAATGAGCATACATTATGGGATGTGATGTCCATACATTTCATTTTACTTCTCACACACCTTTTTAATCTTCGGCCATTTGATAGAATGAATTGAAGAAGATCAACGGACTGAAATTATCAAGGGATGTGTGGGGTGTGTGGATAGCACACCACTACTTCAAAATATATATGTCATTCTATTTTGTAATTTATGATAAAATTATATATATATATATATATATATATAAACAAATATTTATTTACACGAAATATAATATATTTACTTAAAATCTGCCTAGTCCGTCTAGGAGCCCGTCTAGTCACATAAGCATTAGGCCCCAACTCGTCATCCGATTAGCGCCTAGCGTCTTTTAGAACCTTCACATGGTTCTTTACCAGGTTGAATCGTTTACAAAAGAAATCGACGATGAAAGCATCGATTCCAGGCCTAAATTCTGTTCAAAACAAGGATAGATTACCAAAAAACTGGAGGCTAATCACAAGCTACCATTCAAAATGCCACTGAAATCCACGAAATGTTCCAAAATGTACACCAGTTTAAACCAGAGCCGGCGCGATTCAGCAGCTTCACCACAATCCCGAAGGGATTCATAATCTGGAAAAGTTCTGAACAAAAACTGCGAAAACAACAATAATTACATGACTTTACAGAGTTTTCTTCACTACACGGAAGGGCCTAAGGCCGGTGGACAACTCCTCTAACTTCAGTTGTGAAGAGCCGATGTCTGCAAAGCAAAGTATTAGAGAAACAAGAACTTGTTAGCCAGATTACCCACAAAATAGGCATCGCCTAATCGTAATTACAAGTTACTTACAATCTGCTAAGTAATAATCTTTGAAATTAATTCCGTGGATAACTTCAAACCATGAATATTACATTCATGTGTTACTATTACTCACCTCTTGTATTCCAGTCTCTGGATAACAATACCATTTAGCAGAAGTTCTGAACTGTAAGCTGCTGCCCCTGCGAGGTATGATAGTTACAAAGGGTCTAAGTTGCTAACCAAGACGTATAAATGAATGGAATGCTAGTACCTTGCTCAAGAAAAGGCAGGCAGACCGCACGGTCTTCTTCGCAAGAAAGCATCAAAACGTCCTTGAAATTCTTTTTATCTTTTGCTGCAGACATCTGAACCTTCTTCACTGGCTGAGGAACATCTTGTATTATTAGAAGTTCACTAAATGGATACTAACTATTAAACTACGTATGTAACGACAATGCAGATACCTGGCCTTGAACTGCCTTCACCAAGCTAATCATCATTTCTTTATCGGGTTTTATGTTTGGTGTGAAGAAGACTTTTCGACCCTGCTACTTAAGCACAATCATATGGGAACACCCCAGTAACATGGATGAAAGAAAAACGGTTATCAGTTTAAATGAACAAAAGCGCATGCATTACCTTTAGAAGTGGACACCGTTTCGCGCAATCCAGTGAAACAGGCATGCTAAAGCCTATTTCCTTTTCCTTTTTGGCATCCCTCAGAATGTAGATTTTCTCACTAATCAAACAGTTTGCTTGCCCGCAACTCTCAAGCCACAAATGAGTTACCACTGGTTTACCAAGAGCAATGAATTCCAACATGTTCCTTGTTCGTGCAAATTGATCTGCTACAAAGTGTGTTGCATCAGTAGAACATGATGCAACAGATAGGCCCAGTCGTGCGATGACCTATTATGAAAAAAGAGGTAACGTTAGATGCGGATCATCTAGCTGTCTCAAAATCATACAAACTCAATATCTACCTTTTTCTGTTGCTTAATGATAGCATCTTCCAAGTGCTGGCTAAACAGAACTCGAACATATGCCATGTTTCTTCGCCTTCTTAAGTCTTTCCATGCATAATCTGATGTTGATTCAGGGACACCTAGTCCAATAAGCTCTTTCAAAAGGGACGATTTGGGCAAGTTTTTGTTGTATGTCTTTCTGTGATGACCATCAGACACATGTTTGGATGATCCCACGTTTATGCCAGTGGTAGAGTTAGATTGAGCAGTATATTCTGAACCAGATGACACTACTGAGGTATGGCTTTTTATGTCTACCAGTGATGTAGGATCTCTGGCATCTAGCTTCCTGGATTGTAACGCTAGCAAGGATCTGTCAGAATCTTTATCCAATGAGTGTATCTTTCCCCTTATATTGTTGTTGCTTTCTGGCCTTTCATCAAAACGGGAAGTGCTGTCCTTTCCATCAACTATTGGAAATGAAGTGCAGAGGAAAGTAGCTAGGCAAGAATTTCTTCGGGCATTGAGACGTGTTCTTTTCCCTTTTGGATGGCTCCATGATTCTAAGTTCAAAGTACTGGTTGTTCTGTTTTTATCTCGCTCAGACGAAACACAAGATTTGGAAGAGTTTTCTTTGGGGCTGATACTCTTCTTTCTCTTGTATGTAATAATATCCCCCTTCGTAACTTTATTCATGCTTTCTACTCGCTTGTTAAATCCGCCCTCACTCCCACTGATTATTTCAGATGGATGAGCATTTAAACGTCTCTTCCTTCTTCTGTATTTAATAATACAGTCCCCTGTAACATCATTCACCCTTTCTCCTGGATTCTTAGGTTCATCCCCAGTCCCTACTGACCTACCTCCAGTAGCTCTCTCTACCTTTCGATGCTTGGTATGCTTAGGAGATTGTCTACAAAAATTTCCATTGGCGGCAGCAAAATTACTACAATGTTCAGAAAAGAATCTGCTTCTTTTCCCTTTTGTTTGTGCTGCCAAATGAGGATCTAACTCCCAACTCGAAGATTGCTTTTGATATGAAGCAGCTACTCTCCTTACTGTTCTAGTTGAACGCTTTCTTTGCTTTGCATTTTTGTTAATGCCTCCTATATCAGGAACATCACTCTTTCGAAGAGGAAGTTCCAAAAGCGCTTTATTCTCTGGAGCACCTCGTGAAACATCTGCTGTCTTCTCCATACCTTGATAAGCATCAGCAAAATTGCAGTCGGGAAGGTCCCCATATGCTAAGGCCTCCATAGCTTCAGCAGCAATTTGAGTGTTAAAACCAACATCAAACATGTCAACCATATCTGTTCTTACGTCACTAGCTTCCTCCTCCAGTCCTGTTGATTTCGCATTCAAATGTTGTTCCGACTTATTGTCAGATTCATTTCCAATCATCCCTTCCGATTCTGTTATTTCCTTATGGAGGCCCTGAGTTATTTTCTTCTCTTTGCTCTTACCGCCCAAGCTGATACATTTTTTGTCACCACCACCATGCCTGACCTTCTGATTCTGTACAACGGATCCCTGCTTGCACTCTCGAAAATCAGAAGACGAATTGATCTCCTTGTTAATGAGATCAACACCCCATCGCTCCTCAGGAAGATCAACCCATTCAAAGGCCTTGTGTATTTCAACTTGAGACTTCATCCTAGCCAACCTTTGAAACCCCTTTGTGTTTGAGACAGGAGGGGATTTCTCCCTAACCGGTTTCTTGTGATCATCAATTTTCGGAGAGCCACCCAAAACGTCGTTCAATGACACAAAAAGGTCCACAAAACCAAGTGCATTGGCTTGGGCTGACTCCCCAGGTTCCTGAGAGTCAATATAATTTAACCTCGCAATTGGCGGAGATCCTTCATCCTTTTCCCCTTCAGTCGTACCAAAATTAATCGGAGAAACTAGTCCTTCAAAGCATTCAAAGAAAAGTGCTTTTCTCAATATCACTTCCTTACAGATTTATTAAACAGACATTCGACATAAAATCACTTTCTCGCGCATTCCACATAAAATACACACACAAAGTATTCAAAGAAAAGTGTTTTTTTTCTTAAGATCAATTCTTCAAAGATACATCAAACACACGCTCCACATAAAATCACGATTCCACAAAGTATTCCAACAAAAGTGCTTTCTCAAAATCACTTCCTCACAGATTCATTAATCACACATTCCGCATAAAACATGAACAAAAACACAACACAGAAAAAGAAGAAAAGAACACTCTGAAAGCTAACCTGCAGCGAATTGCTCGCGATGAGGACCGAGCTTTTGATCCAACAACACATTGGATTTAACACTCACTATTCTGCTTCCATTCACTTCATCGTCCTCACTGTCTAGCACAACTTCTTCCTCGTACTCATGTACACCAGTCCTAGTCTTTTCGGAAAAATCCGAAAAATCGACCAACTGGGTTTCCTCCATCGAAAGGCTGTCAGGCACAAAAGCATCTTCAAGAGGCACGGTGTCCTGAAATTGTAGCTGCTGCTGATGTTCATCAACTTCATCAACACCCTTGAGTTCATATCCTAATCAGAACCCAACAGAAACTCTAATCAACAATTTACAAACTCTACTTAACAATAATTACAGATGGGTTTGCAAGAAATGAATCAAACAACAGACGAAAAGTGAAGAAATTGATATGAAGATGAGCAGTGATTACCTGATGGGTGAGACAGAAGATCCAAACTCTGGGTCCCGGTGTGAGAAACAGCCATAGCCCAAGAGGGGTTGTAGGCTCTGAGAAGGAGAGAACAGATCACTCTTTCATCACTGAGATGGCTGTTTTAGCAGAGAAATTGAAATGGAAAATGTGAATTCTTTTTGGTCAAATCAAAAACCCTAATGTGGTTGGAAGCCAGAAGGTTTTAATTGGAGGGAAAACTCAAAACAGGAATAAAAGTTGAGTGAGCGGAACAACGATCGATATATAAAGTGTCATAATATAATTTTATTGAATTTTTTCTATTAAGTTTTTAATTAATTATATTATTATATTACATATATTAGATCGTATTCTCGATACATTAAAAATTTCTCCAAAATAAAAAATTGGTAGATCAAAGCTTGATATTTTAAATTATTCTAGTTTAGCAATTAATTTACAAAATTTTAATAAGAGATTTCAAGTTTGACTTTTATGTATAGCGAGTTTCGATACGTAAAGATAACTGATAATGCTTAATTTTGATTTTTATACAAAAAATTATTTCAATCCACAATAAGAATATCGTTTACTTCAAACTCGAGTGAATGAGACAACTGATAGAGATTCACTCTGAACTTCTATATACGAAGCCACGATCAAAAGATTCGGACAATTCAATGTCAATCCTATGATTTTTATTAGCTAATCTCACTAACTTACTTCATAAAAATCCATAAACTTGACGCCCCGCATCTTTTTCTCTCCTTTTCGAACATTCGTAATCTTTCAGTCTGCCAACTTCGACACAAAAATTCGAAATGGATCTCATTCATGAGACAAACACACCGCCAGTGGTATGTTTGCCTGGGTGGTAGATTTTAGCAAAGGGTTTTGGAGGGAAATAACGACAGATTCGGTTAAAAAAGTTAAATTGACAACCAATAGCGAGTGGGCATTTGGTCTAGTGGTATGATTCTCGCTTAGGGTGCGAGAGGTCCCGAGTTCAATTCTCGGAATGCCCCTTTTGTTCCCTTTTTAATGTCTTTTTAGCTGAATCATAAGGACAAATATACCCCCACCAGCCAAGAGTTCTTGCCTTTTGTTCCCTTTTTAATGTCTTTTTAGCTGAATCATAAGGACAAATATACCCCCACCAGCCAAGAGTTCTTGCTATACTGGGATACTTTTTTGAGTTTATTCTTTTAACTTCATCTACAATTTTCATATATTTCTACAGGTTCTTTGTGAATATATCAAGATGAAATGCAAGAACAAAATATTAAAGACACCAAGATTTTAACGAGGTTCATCAACAGTCAGTTTAACTGGAGTACGTCATCGGAGCAGTAGGAGCTCATCCAATAATCCACTATCAATCAAATGAGAGTTTACAAAGTGTTGTCAATCTCACAACCCAAATGCCCAATACACCCAATAGCTCTCTCACACCAAAGAAACAAATAGAGAGAAATATAATGAATAATTTCCTCTCTATACAAAGTTCAAAGCTATTACAGCAAATAACATTTTGATGGAGTGAGAACTAAACAATGAGAGGGCACACTTTCTTCTTCTCTCCAAAATGAAGCTACTGAAAAAACCAATATGTGCTCTCTATTTTTCTGCTACTATGTGGCTGCCTTGCTCTCTCAAAGATGGGCTACTAAAACAAATGGTGCTCACCCTTCTCTCACATTTGGCTGCACACTTTCATCTATAAGAAAGCATCCAAAAACAAAACCAATAATAAGGCTACTTGCTAGCCTTTACCTTTTTTTTCTACAAACATCATCATGACCCTTTTTATCTTTTCAACAAACATAATAACGTTTTCTACCTCTTTTTGTTTATTTTATTTAGCCGAAAGTTGTTTTGTCATTTGGTCATAATTCAACATAGTAATCGTAAAAATGATCGAGAGTCGAAGACCCGTCAGTTCAAAGGGGTATGGATCTACCCAAAGTTCTACCAAACCTCTCCAAGTGATCAGACTTGGTAATATTTATCAATTACTAGATCAAATCAATTCAGATATTGGTTTTTGGGTCTTGCTTATTTTTTTGTTGGTGAACTTGGTTTTGCTACTTTTACCGAAATAATTGTAGCCATTGCTAGAACACTTTTCTTCTTTTAGTACTGTTTAACATTCTTCCTAATCAAAATAAGCACTCAATGGCACGGAGAGTGTTGTTTATAACGAGACGAATTATTTTTCGAGCGATGATGATGCGGAAGAATGGACAAAATGTGACTTCAAAGGGGTATATGGACCTACCCTAGACTCTACCAAACCTCTCCAACAGATCTCACTTGGTAAAAATTTGATCAGTGCTTCATCCATCAATCATGGAATCGAACGCTAGCTTCTCACCATTGTTCTTACCATTGTTGTGCTTCAGTTTACCAGAAAGTGTTAGTAGTTTCCAAGACAAAGTTGGGTGCTTTGACAACTTAACCTCACCAATTAAATCTGTCCCCTTTTAATTAGTAATTTCATCGCGACTGTCACATTGTGACTTGCGGTTCTACATCAGAAATCCATGACATATCAATAATGTCGTGAATTCATATTATAATACATATGCTACGAATTCAAAGCTTGACTACCTCCATGGCAGATTAGTGGATAATAGAGATGGAGGAGGAGAAGGATGAAAACCATAAGCCATTGCAGGAGAAAACTTCAAATTAAATTCTAAGGAAATAAATGCGATGTAGGAACTATATCACAGATCATTGATATGCCAATAAATCACCAACACTTCAACAATCAAACAGAATGACAGAACTATAAACTCAAATATAAAACCAGTTGAAAAACATACCTGCAGAACTTGAACTCGAAGAAGCCATAGTAGCTTCACAACCAAACAATCTGCTCCTCTTTAGCAAAACTAGAAAGCTCTTTGAACAATACAATAGGTATTCAATACAAGATGAGCCGTAATATTTGCAAGAGCAATGATTGAGGTTATATATAGCGTTAATCCAACTCATTCTCCTATTAGAATTAGTGTTGAACTCTAAAACAAAACCTTTTCACACAATGAGTGTACAAGATCAATTAGTGCAGGATCCAAAAACTTTTCCCAAAGGAACACTAAAAGCACTCATAATCCTACAAGAAATAGGATTCATACGAACACCTTATCAAGACTTTTCCATTCAAGAATTCATCCAATATTATAGCTAATCCTCAAACATACTTCATACTCACAATCTAACATGCGAAACAATGTAAAAGTAGTGGAACTAACAAAACAACCCTAAAACTAATGAAAACGTTGTTTTGAACCCTAAACAACTCCGAACGCCTCTAAACTGCACGCATCATACGTCAAAGCAACTTCTTTAATCCTACGTCAGTGAGTTATTCCTAAAATATGTTGATACATTTGGGTTCAACTCTAATTGTCTATTTATCCATTTAAGCAAGCTATATTAGTTATTTAATTATTTACTTTTACAGTTCAAGAAGGCAATGAAAAGCTGCAGTGAACTACTGAAATTAGAACTCTCGAGTTGTGGTTATAAAATGGTATAGTAATACTCTTGTGCCATTAACAACCCTTCGATTGACCTTGTTCTTTTTCTGGTAGGGCTTCTTCATCCTAAATCCCAGAGGTATGAACATTGTTATACATTGTTCGATCACTATTAATTATGATTTACACACATCCATCTTGTCCGTACGGTCCCTTTTCTCTCTGGTCTTTTTGCATAGATAAAATAAATCCAGAATCTATGGACAGAAACAAGGAGAGTAGATATAAGGGTATATTTCGGGCTTGCAGAAATTATTTCCTATCTTTGAATTGAGAGAAATTGAACACCATGTACTATTACAATAATTCGGGTTCAACGAAACTCTTGACATTCTTGAATTTTGATGATGTCTTTTATGTTTTACGTGTTTTTTTCTTGGTGAAATTAGGTATATGCTATGAATCATTAATCCAAAAACCAATTAATTACGAATACTTACAGATAAAGAATGTGCCTCGCTTTAATCTGTGTAATTCTTTTTCACATGCATGCTCCTTGTTGTGTTTGGTCTGTCTTTTGCCATGTTCCTTAATTGTAACATATGTAGTTGGGGCCCTTGACAGTAGCAGCCATATATATGCAATGAGCAACTGTGCCAAAAGGTACGAAGGCCAATGGTCCGATCTTCCCCCTGAACTTGTCTCGGACATAGCAGACCGTCTAGGCACCGACGAGCTTCAAAGTTTTCGCACTGTCTGCAAGGCTTGGAATTCAGCTTCTTACACAGCCGTAGCCAAAGTCGAACCTGCACCGGATATTAAACCCTGGTTTCTACTCTATGGGATCACGGACAATGAGCTTAACAAAGATTCTGATCTTCAAAGCCAGTTATTGGTAAAAAAAAGTGGTGAAAAGTACCCGATATGTCTTCCACAACTTGATGGAACGACAACTTGCCTTGCCTCGAACCAAGGATGGCTTCTTTTGTTCCAACCAGGAGGTTCAATGTTCTTTTTTCGCCCCTTCGTTCCAATGAAAATAGACCTCCCGAAATTCCCAGCCTCAGAGCTCTCTGATCATGTTGCTGCATTTTCGTCTCCCCCAACTTCCCAAGATTGCATGGTTTGCGTCATGAGCCGGAAGAGTGATGGAGAATTTGAGCTGAATGTGCTTCACCGTGGAGCCAATGAATGGACACAACACAAGTACGATCGTCCCATTGATACAATCAAATGCGCTGCTTATCGCAACGGAGAATTCTATTTTCTAGACAGTAAGAGTGGTTATATCACGTTTGCTAAAGACTTGAGCTGGAATCGTGATTATTTAGTTGAAGTTAGCAATGAAGTGACTGAATGCAGGCCATCGCCGGATTATTTTTATACTGAGGACAGTTATTTTCAGACGAAGGACATGAAGAAGAAGCTGGGGTTGGCAGATGATGCCTCGATATCTACGTGTGGGACACTAAAGCAGTATCATGGCCTTCCTCAGTTTGTTTTCAATGAGACTATTTCCAGTAATCGTGTTCAAGAACCCGAAAGCCGGCAATTCAAAGGGGTATGGATCTACCCGAAAATGTTCTATCAAACCTCTCTAAAAGATGAGATATGGTAAGGCTGCGTACGCTGGACATTTCTGTCGACCCTCGTAAAGCAGGAAGCCTTGTTGGCTTTAGGTCGTCCTTACTACTGGTCTGACTTTCATACTGATTTTCTTCTGTTTTTTTTGGGGAAGTTAATTTACTTGTCAAAAGAAGCCTTTTAAAAACTTGATTTTTGGGTTTTATTTTTTGTTGGCGAAGTTAAATTTAATTTGTTAATTATGCTACATGTTGAAAATCGACATACTATTTCGTATACACGAATGCCGAATGGTAACTAAGGAATTCAGTTTCAGTCAAAACCCAAAACAATTATGGCAAAAACTTCATCATTCCATGTCATCCTGTGTATGTGTTTTTCCTTTGTGATCGACATACTTTAAGGTATTAAAATTGTATCAATCTGTGCTTTTGGTTTGAATTGATTGTATGATAATTTATTATAAATTGATGAGGTGGTGAGCTTGAGACTCGTATATAGGCCGTGTAAGCCAGTTGCACCGCATTGACAAAAAAACTTATCAATTTAATGGAGGGTACCGTTCAAAGAGACAAAAAATGTATACCGAAACAAAGATAAAGTTTAAGTATCAAAAAGAAAGATCACACATTACAAGAGAAGTAAAACAATAGTCTCATTCAATATCACAAAAGCTAACAGAGAACATAATTAATTAGTTCTGAATCTAGAACACGTTTTACCATAGTAGCGTAAAACAATCATGTCTATGCACTCTGGTACATGTTTGCTTTCCACGGACCCCCTCCCCCTAATAACTAACAATTTAACTCATTAACGTTATTGTGTGGGGGAGTACGAGGATGACATTTATTCCATATATACTTCTTGCGCAGCAAGAAATGTGGATGAGGACGAAGGTCATGAAGGGTAATGTCTTAAGAATCAGTCTTCAAACTTCAACTTGCTTAAGACAGTGCAACCTCGCCCAAATTCGAACTTATTTACGATACTACCACTGCGCCAAAAACTTCAACTTATATACAAAATTGTCACCGCCCATTGTCCGTATAATTAAAGAAAGTTAGGTGTCTTTGGATTAAAAACAAAAAAGTTTATGAAGCCCTTTTGTATTAGTTTTCTAGACAAAATAAGAAATAAAAATCATACCTTCCAATCTTATAGGCTTTCTTATAATCTGGAAAGAGAAAATAGGATTTTGTTGTAATTTCTTGGTCGCAATTGATTATTAAAAATGAAGTTTTAACGAAAAACTCGTGGTACTGTTCAATTTAACGAAAAACCATATTTTTACACTAAAAAATCAAACCTAATACTATTCACTTTACCATTTATTTTGTCATTTTCGTTAAAACTCAAAATTTTCAAACTTTTTTTTATTAGTTTTCTTTTCATTAGTTTTCCATAAGAAACGACACTTCCACCATCACCTTATGAGACTACTTTGTCATGTCCATCATCACCATTTCAATAATAAAAACTTAAAAATAGTAATGTTTATTAATAAGTTGGTCGTTGAAAAGTTTATGGCAATTCATATAAAATCACTACAATTTTGCAAAAGTATCAATTAATTTATTTCTTTTTCAAAAAGGTATACATTAAAAGTCTAGGAAATCTTAACGAGTTTATAATAATTGATAGAAGTGTACCAAAATCTGGTCAAAATCTCTCACTTTAAAACTCAACAAAAATCCATAGAAATCATATGCACCGCACCCACCTTAGAGAAACTGTTGAAGATGTGACAAAATCATATGCAAAATTCTGTACCAAAAACAAAGAAACAAAATGCATGTGTCACATGCACGTGTAACGAAGTCATTGGACCACACGTCCACATGTGCACCAATATATTAAGAATGCTTTATTTTTCTTGAGTCTTCCTTCCTTACCTTCTTCCTACTTGTCGGTCCAACCCCAACCAAAAGCATATAAAATCAACCGCTGGCCAAGATTTGAAGGGTAGAAATTCACTCAAAAGGTGCAAGTCGAACCAGTTGAGCTCAAATATCAGAACCCCCATCTTTGTCCTTCAAGTATGTTCAAGGTTGCATTCAGGTAAGCTTCTCCTTCCTTTTTTTTTCTTTATAATTCGAGCAATATTCTAATTAATCTGATCTAATAGTAAAGAATTCGAACTTGAGTGCAGAAAAAATGTCACCATTTCAAGAGCTCTTTCAGCTTGTCCGAGCTTCAATATGAGATTTTCATCCCATGCTGGGAGGTAGGCGAAATCGAATAGGTATTCGGGTGAATAGTTCAAATTCCCGAATACCCTTTTTTCGATTTCCATTACATTTCTCATCTGCTTGCCCTTTTGTTGATTTGTTTTCATGTGTGACAAAGCAGGCTTGTAGGCAAAGTGGCACTGATTACCGGAGCAGCAAGCGGCATAGGTAAGGCAACCGCATCGAAATTCATCAGCAATGGCGCCAAAGTTGTCATTGCCGATATCCAACAGGACCTCGGCCAGCTTACGGCGAAAGAGCTCGGTCCAAACGCGACGTTCATTGCCTGTGATGTTACGAAAGAGTCCGACATCTCCAACGCCGTTGATTTCACCATCTCCGAACATAGCCAGCTTGACATTATGTACAGCAATGCTGGGGTACCCTGCTACACACCCCCGAGCATGGTGGATCTCGACCTAGCAGCATTCGACCGTGTCATGAGCATTAACGTGCGTGGAGTCGTGGCAGGAATGAAGCACGCATCGCGCGTGATGATCCCGCGTAAAACCGGCTCCATTCTTTGCACAGCCAGCGTGACGGGACTGATGGGAGGACTAGCACAGCACACATATTCCGTCTCCAAGTCTGCTGTCATTGGCATTGTGAAGTCCGTGGCTTCAGAGCTATGCAGGCATGGAATCCGAGTCAACAGCATATCGCCATTTGCGATTCCAACCCCGTTTGTGATCGAGGAACTGACTCAAATTTTCCCGGGGGTTGATAGACAACGGCTGATGGAAATAACGCACAGTGCAGGAGTCTTGGCCGGCGCAAAATGCGAACCCAACGACGTTGCCAACGCTGCACTTTACCTAGCTTCAGATGAGGCTAAATATGTTAGTGGCCATAATTTGGTTGTTGATGGAGGTTTTACATCTTTCAAGAATTTGGAATTTCCTGCACCAGATCAGGTGCATTAAGCATTCATTCATTGTCACTACTTATTTGCAAATTGCAAAGTGATGTAGAACAAATAGCAAGTGGATTGAAGAGGAGATGGACAGACGGAACGGGAATTTTCATATTTGGCGTCCATGTTCCAATTTTGGCTCATGGCACTTTTCTGGAAAGAAAACGACGTTGTGGTTTAAACTCACTGCTTTGCTGTAATGTACGATGGAATTTCGCCATCCGAGACCGTTTAGACTCCCAAAACTGCATTTTAAAATCTGTAATAAAAATCGAACTTTTCATTTGTCATCCAATTAATGTCGTTCTTGAGTTATTCCAAGGTGTTGTAATCATTTTATTTAAGCCATTGGCTGGCTCCTGTTGTAATCATCTATCAATTATTAATCAAACAACCGTTTGAGATTTCTCTCGAAATCTAGTGGACTTCAGAGCTCGTTCTTAGGGCTTACGTTGGTATCTCTCATTAGCTTCATGCTGAGTGACAAAGGATATACATCTATAAATAGCTAAGATGTGAGGATCCCTAGATCCGATAGGATCCAAATCCTGGGTTATTTTCTTCCTCTGTTTCTGTTGGATTTTGTCTGGTGAGAAAACGGTTGGTGGCTGTAAACTTTGTAAAGTTTTGATCCTTTTGGATTAGGGTCGGCCTGTGGGTACTACGATGTGAGGGGGCCCAAACTATAAACGAGGATCCTGCTATATTATGAACACGTAGTCAATATGAACATTTGAAATGTCATAAAAAAATTTAGTCAAAATAGTCTGTGGGATTGGCATAACTTTATACTTTGATCCCTGACAATAAAATCGATTGAAGTGGCTTCTGAATTTATCTAACGTAACTCATTAAGGTGCTTTCCATAAAAAAAATCTGTCAATGCCCTCATTAAATTGTCACGTGAACGATCGCCTAACCACATTTTTGTCAAGCCAACCCCTCCACTTAGTGAGGATATCGAAAGATATTTCATGGAAATACATGGAAATATCAAAAAGATTTACGGTGGACAAACTCAAAGACCACTTCTATCAATTTTCACCGTCAGTGAACAAAGTGAGGATTTGTGTCAAACTCAAGGACCTTTTTTACTAAAAACTTATGCAAATTCTAGAGTCCATCATTCGGATCATGTGACTGTGCGACACTTCGAAGGTCTATTACATCATCTAATGAGTATTATATCGTCTGATTTGCTTAATACACCATCTAATAGGTCACTTGTAGGCGTTGGTACTTCATACGTTCAAGCAACTTAAAAAAACAACAACCATCCAATGGTAAAATCTTAGGCTCCCTGTCTCACAAAACACTAGCATTCTTCAAACAACAACCAACGATATTTTTATGCTTTTGGTTTAACTTAAACAATATGCATACTGAATCTGCATTGCTACCCTTGAACTGCAAATTGTCACGGTTGCATTGGCATACGTACCGCAAAGCGCTCATCGGTGTTTCAATTAGACATGTATGCAGGTACCATGTGTTCGCTGTCTTGCGCGCAATCTCATTTGAGCAGATAAACACATGTGACCTCTTAGCGAATCCTTAGACGGATACTGCATTCAGGGAGCCTGGATTCAGATTGTCGATTTCATTTTTTGGACAGATGATCAATCGCTGCGCCATGGACAGGAATTCGCTGCTTATGTAGCGTGATTACCAAGTTAGTAACAGATCAGATGGTAAAGCACAACAGATATCGAAAACTTTTAAGTCACAGCATAAGTTCTAGTTCTTAACTGCCACGGGTAATCTCCTACCAGCATCCTGTCTCCGACGTCATCCATGTAGGTTACCTGCCATCCACTGCTTCCACCGATCAGGCTTCCTTTGAAATCGAACATCTGGTCAAGCTCACGAATGAGTTCATTGTAACCATCAAAGCGCGTGAGATCAATCGATCTTCCAACAGGAGCTCCATGTTTGAGCACCTGAAAGAGCGTCAAAATCTTGTCAGGATTAGCTAGCCTTCAGCAACCAATCCACCCTATGCGGATGCTTGCTTGTTAAGTAAACATACAAATACATCTTAAGTTCAATTAGCATAAATTTTTCCTCTACTTGTTCGGAAAGGCAACTCAGAAGACGTTATATGCATAATGTACCTTTATGCGACTCCTGTTACTGACAGAGCAACATTTCCTGCATTGTTTCTCTGAACGAACACCAGAGACACTCTTCGATGTCTCTGACAGCTGGATTGTTTCAGAAACACTTGAATGATATATTGGAGGAGTAGAACAAGGACTATAAAGTTCAATAGAATTGGCAACTTGGGGTGAAGGAAGCTCCGGGTAACTAGTAACTATCTTGACTCCAAAAAGCATTGTGGTCTTGGGCTGGACAAGTGGCGATTGAGTCTCACTCATCAGTTCGAAGGTTCTCAATTTCTGGGACCTCGAGGACCAAATATTTGGAACTGACATGCTTCTTTTACACGCGCCACTGTCAAAGACTCCGAAACCAAACATTGGTGGCCATTGGTTAGTAAGGCTTGGAGCTTTTGGACTGCCAGGACATTGATAAAATGAGTCGTTCATTGGAACGTTGAGATTGTTTTCCAATCCCAACCGTGTGTAGTCCCAGTCAGGATTTGGGGGTGGAATGAACTGTAATAGCTGTTTTGGTGTACCCGGTTCATGAGCAGGTGGATCACTAGTTTCTTGACCTTGAAAGACCTTTTTTTTTCTTGGACGTGTGGACTCAACTGAAATCAGCAACGAGCCTAATAGGAGAAAAACAGAGATAAGTTGAAGAATCCTGAGCTAAATTCCATTAAAACTGAGTTGAAGAATGAAGCGTTTATGAAATCTAGGCAAACTTTCCGCGAGGAGATATATAAGAGTTACTGACCGTTCCTGGCCAAGCTAGAAATCCCGGGTGATGGCAAATCAGGTAAACGTGCCCTCTTGTTAGGTTTGAGAGGTACGATATTCCAAGGAGAGAGCCTTTCAGAATGGAAGCAGGTATCTGATGCGGTATCCAATCGCATCTGGAAGGACACATAAAAAAATGGAACAATTAGAAACAGATGCTAAGAGAATTATTTATGAGATTGAAATGGTCAGAAAACGGAACTTGGGTACCTTCAGACACCTCCATTCTGAATCGGGCCACCTCAAATAATCGTTGTCCTCGATATCTATAATAGTTCCTTCCAACCTGTTTCATACAATAACATGTTCTTTCTAAAGATCGCAGGTGTTTAAGGGGGGCAAAAGTAGATATATAATCAACAATGTCTAGTGGAACTTTTATCCATCCATTCTTGCATTCGCAAGTCATGGCTTGATCACCTCTTCTTCTGATCTGCACATTCTTCACCTTCGGAATACATTCTGAATCTCATTCCAATGGAATAGTCAATTTCGGCTGATTTCATGTATCGATCATAAGGAATTATGAATGCAGCAGGACTTGTCCTGCAGACACATAAACAGATTCATGCTTAAAACATAAGAAAATGTGTATGGTAGTACCCAATGACACTTTTACACATTCAAACTAAAAGTTATTAGCTCATAGGATCAAATAGCTTACCATGGACGGTAGTAAACAGTAAATATGGTACCAGTAGAAATGGCATGGAAAGCGCTGGCGAGTATGCCATGTTGCATGCTGTGGCCAGAAATGAGAGAAGCCGATGCAGTATCTTGTGTTTTGGTCGCACGGCATATGCCAACACGCAGTTCTCCATTTTCTCCTCTGTGAAGTAAGAATAACTTAGAGAGAGAGAGAGAGAGAAAGGGAGGGAGGGAGGGAGAGAGAGAGACAGAGAGCATACCTGGCAAAGATACATGCATCCCCAGAAACAAGTCTTTTTGCAGTCACAAACGTAGTCCAACCACTAGTAAGCAAGTGCCTCCTTGGCTGACCTACATTACGGGGAATGCATCATAAGTTTAAGATTAGCCTTATCTGATGAATCCAGTTGAGAAAGTTAAGCGAAAAACACGCATGAGTAGCAAACCATAAAGCTGATTACATGAGCAGAAACTCGTTTGCAGTTGGATTATTTTGCATAATGTATTGCACAGAACCAGCCGCCAACCATGGAAATTGCATTCTTTTTCGCCTTGGCGCAATGAGGAGTTTTAAAATTTTCTAAAACTACTACAAAAGAAGTACTAATAATGGCACTAAAGTTGGTTTCACAGATGAATGTGCAAGAGCGTCTGAATTTAAAGATACCTCGAAATATATGGCGAAAGCTCCATTCATTTCCCTGCAAGTCCTTTGCTACCAAATCTTGTACTGGTGGCTGCTGAGACATGTCCTGCAAAACATTTGAAACATTTAAATGACCTAGCTTCTAAACCACATTATTTGATATAAATATTATGAGGTAGAGATGAGTGGAAAAAGTGATGAACTGATGCAAGACTGCCGATGACACTTGCATAATCCAAAGTAATAGAAACAATAGACGCCTAATTCAAATTTATTTAGGCATTTATCCAATTGATTACTTAATGTGTATCATGTATTTTCGATGGAAAGACAAGGATACCAACCAGAGCTGGAAGGCATTCTTCAGCTTGTCGCTTCGGAACAGAGAATCCACCGTGGGAGCTTGTGTCTGACGGGGTAAGTGTCTTGCTAAAGGATAGTGTACTGGTTCGCCAAGGCAAGGGTGGAGTATTTTCTTCCTCTACACTTAGCTGGTCTTGCTGCAAGGTGCCAAAGCAGTACACTTATGTTGATATTATATCCAAAATGTCATAGGAAGTTCCAAAGCGGATAAATAATGTAAATTTCCAATGAGGCCGTAAAAAATGTCATCTGAGCACTCATCAGCGAACCTCGGTCACAGGAAGTAAGGTGATTTGAGCATACACTTCGTCTGTGTGAACTTCAGCCTACTCCGACAACAACCAAATTCAGATCAATCGCGAGCCGTTGAATTTTCAATTGCACATTTTGTTACACATCAAGAGAGAACTGATTTACCTTGAGTTGAACACATACAACATTGCAGAGGATCTTGGGAGGCAAATTGTATCTTGGCATTTCCATTTTACCGTCTTGGTTTGCATATGCCTCAACCTGTTCTAGATCAACAAGCAAACATGTCATCCATTTGAAACTCCTCACACGAAAAATCGAAAGGATCAACTGAAGTTCATAATCCGTGACGCATTTTAATGTTCATGCCCTCATTCTCAATGGACCATCAAAACAGTAAGAAAGAAAGTTACGTACGCTAGAGATGAGTGACACTATAACATTGTACTTGTACTATAATGACATTCCCGTTGCGTGAATGTTTTTCACTATGAAGCATGGATACGGATACGGATACATCAATACGACACGACATGACATGACAATACGGAAAATCTCTAAAAATTAAGATACGATACGCTATGGATACGGCAAATAAAAATGTATATAGCAATAAAACTAT